AAATAAAAAAATAAAGATGACAAAACCGTGGTGGCATCTTAAAGACTAACTGTTCTATTTTAATGTGTGCTTTCATGGACAAGAATCCACTTCTTCAGGCGCTAGATAGCATTTAGGCTTTCAGGTGCCACAACATTTTTCTCTTCTTCACTTTTTATTTTTGTTTTGTTTTTGTCTTTCTTCCATTTGCTCTGCTTTTTATGTGATTTGTCTGTGCCATCTGTAATTTGTAATGTTGCTTTTAATGCTTTTATCTTCATTTTTTGTTTTGTATTATATTTGTTGTAACAGTCCAGAGTAGTGTCTTGGCACTAATGGGAGCGGGATATAGAAGGGAGGGAGGGAGGGAGGGAGGGAGGGAGGAAGGAAGGAAGGAAGGAAGGAAGGAAGGAAGGAAGGGAAGGAAGGAGAGGGATGAGGAGAAGGGAGGAAGGAAAGGGATGAATGAGAAGGGAAGGAGGGAAGAAGAAGGGAGGATGAGGAGGGATGAGGAGAAGGAAGGAAGGAAGGAAGGAAGGAAGGAAGGAACGAACAAACAAACAAACAAACAAACAAACAAACAAACAAATAAATAAATAGCACAGACTAACACAGCTACCTATTCTAAAACTGCAACTATGTTAAAGTAAGCTGCAGCTGGAGTAGGCCCCTCTGAATCAATGGAATTTACAATGGAGTTGATCCACAGAATCTGCACTGATTAAATGGGCCTTCTCTAGTGCAACTGACTACAATAAGCAACAGGATTTTGGCCAATGATTGCAGGGTCAACCTGCAAAGAACTGAAAAACAAGAGGTTCTTTTAAAGTATGTGTGTTTTATGCCTATCTCCAGCTCCACACTGTTCTTGAGACCCTCACCTTCCACAGTTGTACAGGTCACAGCAGAAACAGGTGTTGGTTTTGATCTTCGGCATGCAGGCGCTCCAGTACTGGGACTGGCAGATGGCCTAGGTGGACAAGAAACATCTCAGAGGTGTTTTGGGGAATGGCCTTCTCTGCTCCTACAGGAGGAACATCTGCTAATCTTCTTAAAGAACCCTTCCACAACTTGGGAACCACCCTAAGTGGATTACAACTCCCATCACCCCATGTTGAGGATGGGAGTTGTAGCCCAAAAGTTGAAAGGCCCTCACTTGGGGAAGCTTGGCTTAAAGTAATCCCACATTCACTGCTGGCCAACCTCCGCACAGTGGGTAGGAGCCAGGGCCTGTTTCTGACACTGTTCTGCTCAAAGCAGGAGGTGGTGGGTCCAGGTAGATCAATACAGCTCCCTCTAGGAAAATCATCATCATCATCATGATGTTTTCATCCCTGCATGCAGACATCTAGCATGCCAAGGAGAAGGTTAGACTAAAACACTTTCCCTTGAGATCTCCTTTCCAAGCCAGCGAACCTCCCAGCTTGCTTCAATGATGTAGAAAAGAAAATGTATTTCTTCATTTGCTGTTTGTAAGAAATCGATTTCTTAAGGACTAGATGGGACTATTTCTGCCGTCCAAGCAGTGGTGTAGTCCTCAACTAGGAATGCAGGAGATAGATCCTCATGATATATGCCTTCAATAAGGTAAATCCAAAAAATGCAGGGAAGCTAGATTCCATTTTAATTATTTATTTATCCAATTTTTTATTTACAATATTTTTATCCTGCCCGTCTCCCTAAAACAAATAAAACAAGTAATATGGTATTTGTTTGATTCTTTTAAATACGTGAATACAATGTTTTTAGCTTTTAAATGTTGTATTTTAAGATACGTGAATACTTAATGTTTTTAGCTTTTAAATATTGTCTTTTAATTATGCAAATTGCCTTAAATGCTTTTTAAGGTGAAAGGCAGGGTAAAACTATTTTGAATAAATAATAAAATAGATCTGCCCTCTTAACAAATCTGCAGCGTGTCTTTTGTGAAATTAATGGCTCTTGATTGCCTACTCAAGGCTAAATGGTCTTCAGATTAGAGGTGGGCACAAACCGCCGGTTCATTGGATGGCCAAACAGGTGCTTTTGGTGCTTTGCAGCCCTGCCTCCTCCAGCAGGAACCCGCTCAGAGGCAGTGCTCAGAGGAGGTAGGGCTCCTAAGGCCCAAACACCTGTTCGGCCATCAAACGGCAGCGCTCAGAGGAGGCAGGGCTCCAAAGGCCCAAACACCTGTTCGGCCATCAAACGAACTAGCACGAATCACGAAAACAGCCATTCATGCCCATCTCTAATCCAGATACAGTACTTTGCATTACAAGAAGAGTAGCTTGCAAAAATACAGTGGCCCTTGGAAAATCCATTTCTCTTCCCAACTACAGCAAGCATTGCCACTACCTTGAGGTTTCTCTGTACCCAAGTCTCTTGTAGTCAAGAGACTCAGAAGGTACAGGGAAGCCTCAAGGTAGTGGTGGCTGATGTCAGAGACCCTCTTCCTCTGATTGTTCTGGGGTTCTGATCCAGCCAGCCTTGGCTCCATCACACCACTCAGCCCAGACAGACACAAGTGTTCACCCGGGTCCCTCCTGTTCGGCACCTCCAACGGAGACTTTCAGCTCATCATGTACTGCATGCAATGAAACAATACAATTACCCACCTCTGGTGAAGCCATATTTTTCGAATAGTAGTGGCACCGTCCTGCATAGAGTGGCCTAAGATCCTGTAAACCAAAAGGGGGGAGAAATAAAGGGTTTTTTAATTTAAGGAAATTGGGGGGGGGGGAAGTAATGTTCCAACCAGATGCATTTTCTATCAAGATGTCAGAGAGAGAAAAAGGCCGGCCCCACCATTGGGCAGAGGGAGAGAACTGTCTTAAGCAGTGGATACAGGGAGGGAGGGAGGGGCTACAAGATGTTGGAAAGGAGAGCTTTGTACCCGTGGTCTGGCTTTTGCCTTTGGTGCTTTCTTTATCGGGAGAGACTGGGAGTGGACGAACGTTCTGAGGCCCCCGTCAGAATCTCTTCTCAAGAACGTTCTGAGGCAGGACCCGTCCCGTCCACAGAACGTCCCATCCGCCCAATGGCAGAGGGAGCTTCTGGGCAAGAGCAGCCTCCAGAACAGATCTGGGCTGTTCTCAACATAAAACACATGTGAAGGATAGCCTTACGGATTCTTCTGACAGCTACCTCCAGAGGGAGGAACTATAAGCATAATATATCCCTTAGCGTAGCTTGCAGCCATGATCAGGGTGGAGTACACCCTCTGTGAGTGATTCAGGTTCTGAAGAATTATTTTTCTCCACCTACAGACATGCCCTCAGCAGCTGCTCGGGAGGAGCAACACTAACAGAGTGCAAAGTGAGTGTAGTCCAACGAAGTAACTTTTCCAGCACCCAGACTAGATCTGACTGGACTGCCACTCTTTTCTTCTCTCATCATTAGCTGCTGTCTAAGTTTGATGGGTGCTGCTCTTTAGCAACGTCAGGAAGGTCCCAGCTTTCCTGCCCCAGATTTATACAGGTTGGAACGAAAGGGCTGAACTTCCTCTCCAAGAGTTCAGTGGTCACAACCCCAGTGGCTGTTCCGATCGTTGTGTGTGGAACAGAAACAGTTGTTTTCAATTCAGCGTCCAAGCCATTCAAGTTTCACATCAAGGAAAACTGAATTCTGTGTCTCATATAAAGTAAGCAAATTGACACAAGAAAGTTGCATTTTATTTTGATTAATCAAACAAACAAACCCAAAATATTTATCTTCATAACTTATCACCATTCCTCTAGTTAGAGAAAGAGACCAAGAGGAATGCTGGAATGAATAAGCAACAGCCAAAAATATTAGTCTTCTGTCTGACATCTTTCTGAGTTGTTCCTGTGAATGAGGTAGGAGGAAGTCTGTAACACTTCTGAGCATCTATAGGGAACCTTTTCTTTTTCTTAAGAGGGCCCTCTTAAAAACCTGCAAATGTAGAATTGGCACCACTGACTAGACGGCTGCCTTTCTTTCTTATGTTAGCTTGGAAAAAAAACTTTAGGATATAGTTTTAAAAACAGAAAACCTTAAAAGTTTACACTGTGTATAATGGCACACAGCCCTATAGCCTGGGTTGGAGCAGCTCATTCTGCCTTCTCCTGCTGCTGCATGTGTCAAACAGGCCTTGTTTGGCTTGCTAAAATAATCATGCATGTCCTGCCGTGTCCATGCACTTTCAACTTTGTTGTTATAAAGACCAGGGCCTTGCTTTTTTTAAAAAAAGAAGCCAAAATGGAGACTATCAAGACCTTGTAATCTACACCCAGATGTCTTACTGTACATTCACCCTCCTGAAAAGGGTGGACAAAGCGGAGACTCTCCCACAAACCTAGCTGGGTACTCACTATGTGTCTGGCGGCAAAGACCCCATCCACAATGGCACAGCAGAAGGCAGCGATGACACCAAAGCTGATGAAAACGATGGACGCGACCAGCTGTGAGGATACAGAGAAAAGTCTATGCAACCATCGGCTTCCATACAAATTGTGTAAGAAAACCTATAGGTTTCACCAAAGGCAAGGGCTCTGAGCTAAAAGGAACCTTGGTCTTTCCAGAGTTGGGGACCCCCAGTTTTCACCTCACAAGCTGAGCTCTTTCCATCCTTGAAATCAGCAAATCGGAACATTCCCATGGCCTCAACATCTAGCAAAACTTCCATGCCTCTTCTCTCTCTCTCTCTCTCTCTCTCTCTCTCTCTCGAGCTCTTTCCATCCTGAAAATCAGTGTATCAGAACATTCCATGGCCTCAAGCAAAACTTCCATGCCTCTTCTCTCTCTCTCTCTCTCTCTCTCTCTCTCTCTCTCTCTCTCTCTCTCTCTCTCTCATACACACTCACAAACACACTCTTTAAAGCAGTGGTCCTCAACCTTGGGCCTCCAGATGTTCTTGGACTTCAACTCCCAGAAATCCTGGCCAGCAGAGGTGGTGGTGAAGGTTTCTGGGCCTTGTAATCCAAGAACATCTGGAGGCCCAAGATTGGGGACCACGGCTTTAAAGAACCACCTGTCCTGATGAAGGCTTCAGGAGAACTTGAAAGCTTGCACTCTATTGGGGGACTACAGTCGGTCCTTATACAAAGCATTCACTGCCCCTGCCTGGACAACCCCCATCGATGCAGAGGTCTTCTTGGAGAAATGCTAAGGCCTTCTTCGAAGCTCATAAGGAGCACATTCTGAACGATGCCTGAGGTTGCCCACATGCTTCCACGTGCCACTTTGCACATCATTCAATGTGCATATTTTGCTCCTTTCTCAATTACACATTTTCTGGGCAACAGCAAGTTAAGTATCCGGCTGGGGAGTCAAGGCTGGTAGTTCTGTTTCCCCAGAAGAACCAGCCTGGGTGGCCTTAGGCAAACTGCACAGTCCCCGAAGAAGGGAAAGGCAAACCCCTTCTGAGCACTCTCTGCTTAGAAAACCCTGAGAAGGGTCACCATAGTTCAGAACTGACTTGACAGCATAGTTATTTACTAGGTTACAACACATGTTTGATTAGATATGCTTGTCCTTTTTTTATATTATTATGGTGGTGGCCAACCACCACTCACGCCTTTGCTAGAAGGGCAACTTTTCAAGAATCTCAGACGATGTGTTGATGGGGAAGCTGGTGCTTAGGAGCTTTCTCTTCTACAAAAAAAAACCCCTGCAGAATGACCGGTGTTCTCTTTGTCCCAACCCTGCATGCCCAGTGGGGGCGGGTCGCTGCTGTTCCTGTTGTCCAGTGTGGGGCTAGTGATGGCGGGGACAGAAGGTTGCGTGCCCTGACGTTGTAAGACAGAATCGGAACTCTGGAAGCACAACGGAGAATGTGACACGGAATGGAATGAGAAGCGAGCCACTCCTTCCGGACTGGACTCCCACAGCCTGGCCGACTGGTCACAGAAGGAAGATACTAGGCCCCACCCTTGCCTGCCCCCCAGATCTACCAGGACTCCCGCTGTTCCACCTGACAACCTGGCGGCTAACCCCAAGGTATTCTGAGATCACGTTTATGCTAAGTGCGGGGAACCTCCAACCAAGGGCCAAATCCTGCCCTTTGGGGCTTCCAAACTGGCCATCTCAGTTTTTCCTGATGGCCCCACCTCCGTTCCCAAGACACCGTTCTTTGGGGGTTGTACAGGATTTTCCCTGCCCTGAAAGACTAAACACTTCTAAAGATGAGTTGCTGGCATCAAGAGCTTTTTATTAAATTATGCTGGCATTTTTGCCTGCCTCTTTCCCCCCAAGCCTGGCCAGCCTACAAAAAAGTGCTCCCTAAAACCCTCCCTGACACCCAATGTGGCCCTTGGGTAAAAGAGGTTGACCACTCTTGATTTATAAGCTGCTTTTCTAGAATAATCAATGGTTTGTGACATTTTAAAAAACTGCTAAGAACATGATTTATTTTTTTTTAAAAAGGAAGCAAGCAAGAGGGCAGAGAAAGTTAATCAACTAATTGAAGGTATCAAATATTTCATGGCCATCTGATAGAGACTGAAGTTACATAATGAAACTACAAGATTTAGGTTTGGGGAAGTAAGAAGTAAAATGACTGGCTATTTCTCATTTTTATACTATGCTTTTCGGCTGAGGCTCAAAGCAGCTGGCATCCATTAAAATCTAATGGCAGCCTTTTCTGGATGCTCCAAAATGTCGGTATGGCCCTCAACCCTCCCTCTCAGTCCACGGCAGTTGATGACATAGCCCAGGTTCTAGGCTTTTCCCTGTGAAAGGGGGGGAGGGGGCTTTGCAGGTAAACTCACCTGCCTGGGGACTTGCTGATCATCAAAACAGCCAACCCATGAAAGCCTTCCCTTCACAGAGTCAGGCTGACTGGTGTGAGGGTCACTATCATGCCATCTCTTCCTGAGATGCACCCAGGTGGAATGGCTGCCCATAGAGGGAGTTGGGTTGATGATCAGCTGAGCTGATGGATGGGGAATCTTCTCCTTCCCTCTGATGCAACCAGTTATGCATTTAGCGCCGTCTGAGTGTCTAAATAACCACTAGGCTTGGAATCATGATGGACTCCTTCCTTCTCTAGCTTAGGCTTTCTGGCCTGAGAGGGTGGCAGCTCTTTTGAAGGAGCTTCTGTTTGAAGTCAGTATTCTCAGCTTGAAAGGATGCTGCAGCATGTGAGCCAGTGTGGTTTAATGGTTACAGGGTTGCCTGGGGGGTGGGAGATCCAGAAGATCATCCCCATTCAGCCACAGAATTCACTGGCTGGTTTGGGGCCACTCACTTTCCTGCTCAGCCTGACCAATATCACAGGATTGACTGGGAGGATCACACGAGGAAGAGGGGAAAGCGTGCATGTTGCCTTGAGCCCACTGGAGGGAAGCCCGGATATAAATGAACTAAAAAGAAATAACAAAGGCCTCTAGCTGAAGTTGATGGAAAGCTACTGCCAGTTGGTGTGGACAACCAAAGGCAGAGAGGCCCCTGTTCATTCGAAGTCTTCCTGGCTCCTTGGTAGATGCTGTGCCTTTCCTAGACTTAGTTCCAAGATGTTCAGCCTCCAGGGATCAGGAACTAACCCTGAGAAAGAAAGTCCTGCCTAAATGCGGCCAGCCAGGGTTAACAACATGCCATTCGTTGGGCTAATTCGTGCTCTAGCACGAATTAACAACATGCCATTCGTTGGGTTAACAATATGCCATTCGTTGGGCTAATTCGTGCTCTAGCCTAGGAGAAACCCTCTCCGTGTGTTTCCATTTTTAGGGCTCATTGAATTTCACTTTTGCATCTTTTTTTCATTCTCTTTCGGACCTCAAAATGAATTCTTGGTGAATTTCTAAAAATCTTTCTGTAATATTGCTTTTATTAAGGAGGTGTTCTGACAAGCCTGTCTGACTGTGGCCAGGATCCTATTGGTGTTCATGTAAGGTCCGCGTAACTTCCCACGGCTAAGTGCTGCTAATTGATGGGGTGCTGGGGCTTCTCTTAGTTAAATGCCTGGTCATGCACTCCAGCACAATTGAACACAGCACATGACATCAACCTTACACAAAAACAAATAAGTTTCTGGCTGCATTTTTTGTTACAATGTACATATTGCTGACATGTTTTTGTAATTGTAATTAAATTATCTTGAGATGTTATTGACCTGGCCAGAGCCGCTTTAGCTCGGTTCACTAAAAGGAACTAGTTAGTCACTATACAAGTCTGACTGGCCTGTCTGGCAAGCACATGACGCAGGTTCCTCCCAAGCCTTGTTTTGTTGCCTGTTTAACAAACTGTGCTTTAACTGAAACAAATGGCTGTCTGCACATAGCAATTTGTTAAAACTGAACATATTTCTAGCTTGTTCTCTTTTCTTGTTTGCAATGGGAGAGGGCTCGGCCCAGCCTCTTTTCTGTTTATGCGCAAAGCCCCAAATGACAGCTTTGTCTTTTATCCCGAAACTTGATGGAACAAACTGCCTTAAGGACAGCCTCACAAATATGGAAGGACTCTAGATCACAGCTTGGATAATGTTTCTTTCCTCTTGTAGTGAGGTGCATGGTACTCTATGCACTATGTTAAAAAAGCACTTTCTAGCAAACTTTCCATCTGTCTTCCATCTCACACCATTCTGATTTCAGGCCATGACCCGAGGTTCTAGCATATGAAAGGGGAAACAGCTTCTCCCTAATCCATTTCCCCCACCTCATGCATCACTTTATACCGTATCCCTCAATCATGTTTTCCCTCATGCTTTCTAAACTGAACCCTCCTAAGTGTGGCAATCTTTCCTAGTGAAGATACTCCAGCCTGTTGATCCTGTATTTTAGGATAAAGCATGCAATTCACTGGCCAAACCTCTTGAGCCTCAACGTTGTTCAACTAATCTAGGACAGTGTTTCCCACTGTTGGGTAGCCGAGGTGTTCTTGGACTGTAACTCCCAGAAATCCCAGCCAGCACAGCTGGTCATGAAGGCTTCTTGGAATGGATGTCTAAGAACACCTGGATTATCAAAGGCTGGTTGAAAAACAAAACAAAACAAAAAACCAATAAGAGTCCATTTGAAGCTACTCTGTCCTTTGAGAAGGGGTAATGAATGGAATGTAGGGTGGTTGTTCTATTGTTGTTGTTTAGTCGTTTAGTCATGTCCGACTCTTCGTGACCCCATGGACCAGAGCACGCCAGGCCCTCCTGTCTTCCATTGCCTCCCGGAGTTGGGTCAAATTCATCTTGGTCGCTTCGATGTCCAACCATCTCGTCCAACCATCTCGTACTCTGTCATCCCCTTCTCCTCTTGCCCTCACACTCTCCTAACACCAGGGGCTTTTCCAGGGAGTCTTCTCTTTTGCAGGCAAAGCCTTCCTGACGGTTGCAAGCCAGCCTCTAATCTTCACAGGATCATTTGTGAGTGAGGAGACAAGGCTAGTTCTTGTGCCTTCCCAGGGAGGCTCACAAACAAGGAACCATCTGAGGAGGAGAGATTGCATACTAACTTCCCATTTGACTGTCACACTTTGGCAGGGTTTGGTGGAATCTCTCAG